TAGATACTACATGTAGACCTTTCTCAGATTTGTTCATTTTGTGATGATATCTTCAGTTCTCTAATTTTGGTGAATATTTTTGTAATTTTTGGTAAAAAGTGATATTTTCGACTTCTTGTTAAAAACCAATAGTTCAATTGCTTTGATATTACATATATAGATACTACATGTAGACCTTTCTCAGATTTGTTCATTTTGTGATGATATCTTCAGTTCTCTAATTTTGGTGAATATTTTTGTCATTTTTGGTAAAAAGTGATATTTTCGACTTCTTGTTGAAAACTGTAAGTCCGATTGCTTTGATACTATTCATATTGTTCATTTTCTAATGATGTCTTCAGTTCTTTAATTGAAATGTGCATTGGTAACAGCGGAGCTATCTCAGCCGAGAAGCTGCTTGTTTTTAACTCTATGCAATCGATTACATATGTACTGTATGTCATCTCATTTCATTTCACTGTCATCTCATAATTAGTCTGCAGGTAGTTTTAATGCAATGGCATATTTAGTAGCTTAGTAGTTTTATGGTTATACTAATTTTCATGTATTTTTTCCTCCATTCTTAGTTACATGTATTCAATGTTTTATTCGTGATACTGGTGGATTGAACTGTACTTCCGTCTTGCTTTGTACTAAACAATAACATTAGCTTATGTTTAATGTGCTATTTGTGATATTAGTTGTATTATTTCTGTTCTTGTTTTACAACCATAAAATTACTCTCTGTAGTAGATTTTCGTGTTGAATAAAATTATTATTATTATTATTATTATAAGAGCTGGAAATTTGAATCGGTCAGGAGCTGACGAACTAGGTTTCTAATCACAAACTTTTATATTTTATTCACTGTTTATTCACAATTTACAATTATGCAGGAGAAATATGTATATGTAACTAAGTCCGGGAGGGGGCTTGTAGTTTCGCCTTTGTCAGTCCGTCCGGAATGATTTCTCGGAGATTTTTTTTTTTTTATTTAAACAATATTTTTATTTTGTTTCAATAATGGACATACAACACAAAAAAAAAAAATAAAGGAAAAATAAAACTAAGAAAAAAAAGAAGAGAAAAAAAAAAAAGGAAAAATGATCTGGTATACATCTAAATTTACCATTATCTACCAATTAGTTAATGGTTCCCATTTCTGATAATGGATAAGCTCTTTGTTTTTG